CATGGTCCAGGTCGTATTTCATTTTCCGTGTGAAGCATTCTCTACCAAAATAGTGCATAAAGATCTGACTCACCTATGTATTATGGAGTTATCATACTGCTAGTATTACCAGCTTTTTTTTTTTTTTTTTTTTTTTAGGCAATCGTAGATTGCCTCCTCAATGAGATTGTAATTTCTCTGAGGGTAGAGACTATGTCTTATATATTTTTTAAAAAGTCTAGAAACAGAAGGATGGTATTGAGGATCAATTATATCTACTTAGAAAAAAACCACTCATGTTGCAAATACAATTTTCCGTAATGGTCTCATGGTTGGTAAACTATAACAGGGTGACCAGGAGTGGAAAAGAGTCTAGCGACCATGTCTTGTTAGGGGGAGTTGTAGAGTATAAACTCTGAATTTGGATTCAAGCACCTGGAGTTCTAGTCACCTTCCCGACGCCTGTGCCTTGCACATCATTTCTCTGGCTCTAGGTCTTTCTCCTGTGAAATAGCAGATTTGATATAGATGTGTGCTATACAAAATGTGGTTCCTGGACCCAAGGGCCACAGGCCTATTGGATCAGAGTCCCTTAGGGGGGGCCCAGAAGTCTGCATTTTAACAGCCCCTCCAGGTGATTCTTACTGAAGTGAGAGAAGCATTGATCTAGATCAAAGGTTCTTAAACTAGATTTCCTGAACGGTTTCATGGAAGAACTCCATGGCTTCTACAATTCACTGCAATTTTATAAAAATCTCTTGAGTATGTATGCATATTTACATTTGTCTAGAGAAAAATGTTTTATCCTTAATCAGCTACTCAGAGGGTCCATGACCCCTGAAACATATTTTCTGGTCTAGATAACCTATTAAATTCCCTTGTGGCCTCAGAGTTCCATAGTCCTTTGTATTCTCCAGAGTATTTAGCAAAGAACAGAGTTCATAAGCTGCAAGCTAGCAGGCTGTATATAGATTGAGATATGTTTTTATTTAGCTTGCTCAGTGTTTTAACCAATTGAAGACATTTTAAAATCAGGAATTTTACAT